TACTACTACTATATATTCAGTTTAAATAGACCGATAAATAATGTGAACATGAATTAAATTAGGACTGTAGAAAGAAGCTTTTTTGATCACCCTATTTTTAGCTAAATTTCCATAATGACATTGCGAATATTACAAAATGCAGGATTTTCTTTAATAAATATAATCAATTTCCAAAAATATTTTTTTCAGTAAGCAATCAAAACTAAACAGAGAATCAAAACAAACCTTTTTAAAATAGTGAAATTGACCTCCATTCACGTCGATGCATGGCCTCAATTTCCTTCTAAAACTAAATAAAATTATTCTGTAGAAAAATTAATTGATTATCAGGGACCAGTCCCGACTTCAAAAATTTACCACTCTTCAATCGACTCCACGAAGTTGGAAAAACCGCTCCATGCAAAATCGATCGTAGGGAGAGCCGAGGCCGATGTCCCGAAGGACCCAGAACGAGATTATTAAAAAAAAAAATCACGACGAGACGATGAAAATTGGCGAGTGGCGAGAATTTTTTCCAATATTTCCCACTGTGCGTCGTACCCAAAACCGCTCCGAGCATCCACAAACTGGTTCAATCACAACCGTCGATGTTGACGAAAGACGATACCGTCATCAGAGATTCCCAGGACGATGTTAGGCGGGAAGGGAAAACTTTCACTTCAGTTCTCGCTGTCGGGTAAAAAAAAACACCCCGTTGCAGCGGTCAGCATCCCTAACGACGCGAAATAAGGGCAACGAAGCCGTTCAAGGTTATAATTTCGGTTTGGACATGGTTAGGAAGGCAAATCCGAGCAGTGGGAATGGTGCTGTCCAAAACTGAACTGTGCCGATAGAGACATCAACGGAGATGCCCCTACATGTGACGGAACGTCGACCCTGGGCATCAGCAGAAATATAACCAATGTACGGATAGTTGTTTTATGTTAATTATCGCCCAATTATTGTATTATTAGGCCAAAAATAAACAATAAAATCAAATACTTTTTTAAATATTTTTGAGTTAGATTCTCTCATAAAAAATCACCTAACGAGCTCATAGCTCTCCCAGCTCCTCAAGCTGCCCGCCTAGGTCCGTCCTACCTACGATGAGAGGTACCCAGCTCTTAAGCTGTCATAGACAACCGCTCTAAAGCCTCCTGCGAAGCGAAGTGAACAAAGCTCCTGAAGCATGCAGGTACTCTATGGAGACCTCAGTAATAAACTTTAGTGTCTAGCCCACACACATAAAAACAGTGATAAAGGCATCAAAGTCGCAGACTCTCAGTGCTACATAAAACCTAGCGAAAAACAATCCAAAGGGTCAGTTGAAACCTACAAAACTAAACTAAAAGCCAAAATGGAAATCACCTTATAGGCGAGCAGATGAATAAGATCCCAGCACCGCATGTAAAAACGGAGCTAACCAAGTCGCAAAGATGAGTCCCAGAGGACACAGTCGATGCCCAAGAGAGCTACGGGGCTGGCGCGGCTCAGCCCGATGCGTTAACGCCCGAAAACTCTGCGGCCAATCAAAATCCAAAGGTTCCTCTAAACGACATTCCACGACATATTCATTTATCCCACTATTGTGTCAGATATACCTGTATGATTAAAATCCGAACGATTTTTAAATTTAAACGATTTGGTTTCCGAACGGCACTGATCCTAATATTCGCATTAATCCGATCACAGTTTTCTAAAAATCTTATGATATTCGCTATGTTATGCTCGCACAAAACGCTATGTTATGCTCGCACAAAACGCTATGAACGCTAGCACTGAAAAAATTGCAATAAAAAATAGGATATAGGGTGAATAAAAAACATCCTTCCACACTCCCGATTTTATTCAAATTCTTACTATTTATCGGCCTATTAAACTGAGCACTCCCTGAAAATTTCATTGTTTTCTTTTTCCAAAAAAGAGTTATAACGAGCGTTCAAATAAAAACGTGGTCAAGTTGGTTCTGAAAATTTGGACGTAGGGCGTAGCGTATAGCAAATGAACTTAAACGTCATCTGTCAAAGCGCTATATCGCCGCTATCAATTTGAATATTTCGTTTTAAAAAACGCTTAAAATGGTGTTTTCTCAAGAACAAAAAGTGTTTATTATAGAGTCCTACTTTAGAAATGGACGCAAGATTGATGGAATATGGAAGTATTCTATTGAGGAATGTTTCATAGAATTTCAAAATCAATTTCCCGGGGTTGTTAAGTACAAAATTTTTCAAAGTGCAGCTCAGCGTTGTGTTAATGTTTTTCGTGAAACGGGCAGTGTAACAAGAAAAGAAGGAAGCGGCCGATCTAAAAAGCGGACTGAAGAATTAAAAGAAAATGTCCAACAAATAATGGAAAATGCGCCAAGAACTTTTGTATGTGTTTTATCACAAATGGTGGGAATATCAGTCGGTACCTGCCACACAGTGTTAAAAAAAGATTTGCGTTTGTTCTCCTATCGTTTAACTTGTCAGCAAGAACTTCATGAAGTTGATTTTCCGCGACGGGCTGTATTTTGTGAATGGTTTTTAAACAACTACGGTGAACTTCATAATATCACCTTTTTTTCTGATGAAGCCTGGTTTCATTTAAGTGGTTACGTAAACTCACAGAATATGAGAATGTGGTCTTCTGAAAAACCAAATAACTTTTTTGTCGAGGGCCCTCTACACGCTCAAAAAATTGGAGTTTGGTGTGCTCTCAATCGAAGGAGGATTTATGGACCTATTTTTTTTAATGGTACTCTTACTGCGCAAAGGTATAGAGAAGAAATTATCGCTCCTTTTGTTAACCAGCTGGAAGAAAACGAAATTACAAACTTTTACTTTCAACAAGATGGCGCAAGGGCACATACGGCAAGCGAGACGATGAATATGTTGAGGGAAATTTTCCAAAATCGGCTAATAAGTCTCAATGCTGAACATGAATTTCCACCGAGGTCATGTGATATTACGCCGTGTGATTTCTTTTTGTGGCCTTACCTTAAAAACACTATTTTTGAACTGCCTATTCCTGATTTAAACCATCTGCAGGCTCGACTTATAGACAAGATTCGTGAAATTAACAATACCCCGAGCATCTTAGAAAATTTCTTTAATTCTTTCAGGAACGGGTGTGAAAAGTGCTTGGAACAAGGAGGGGGACACTTTCAGCAACTGCTTTAATTTATTGTTATAACAAGGAGGGGGACACTTTCCGCAGCTGCTTTAATTGTTTGTTATTGTTATCACGATTATTCTTTAAAATAAAGTTATATAGTCATTAAAGTTATCGAAACTGACAGCTACTATACAGCTCGTTGAGAAATGAGGTTAAGTTGGTCGCTATAAGCTACTCCCTACGTCCAATGTGTCAGAGCCAACTTCGACCACGTTTTTATTTGAACGCTCTTTATAATACAAGCTACTTTAACGAGGTTGAATTTATTAGAACTTTTAATTATGTACTACCCCCACCTAAAGTTTTAGGAACACCACATTTGTATAGTCTTTCCGAAGTCAGTTAAACATGTATAAAAAAACCGAGAAATCAAATTTAATGAGTTTCATAGGCGCCCCTAAAAAAGTTTTCTGCCAAAGGTTAAAAATTATAATAATTTTTATATAATGTGTAAAAAATTTCTATTATATGTTGATTTAACCAACAACATATTTTAATTATTTATATCCTCAAACAATTTTATTACATTAATGGTAAATTTCGTTTTGTTCCATTTCAAGAGGTCTCCAAAATGCCATGTTGTAATAATATTAGTAAACCAAATATCCCTCTTATTTCTGCCTTTCGCAATTGTAATATGAATGATTGATAGAATTACCTGAATCACACCAAATTCCATTCCATTCATTGCTGCACTGCACTGCCAAGCGACTTGTCGACAACTGAAATTTATGACGCAGTCGACCAGAGCAACAGTGCGTATTGCTGTTTGCCCGCACGCTAATTCTTCAACTGAGCGTATACATTTCTACCACCTGCACATTTAGTTCGACCAGACCTGTATATGAGTATGGCTAAATAAATATGGGAACAAGTTTTTTAAATATTTCAATGCGTCAACGACCGAACCTGGTACATACTGTCATCCTCTTGGTTCTTCAATTGATATCGGAAAGACTATACAAACGATTTTTTTTCAAGGAATAAAAACCAAACTTTTTTTTGTAATTCAACCGTTTCTCATACAATTAAGAATTGAAAAAAAAAATCATAGGTCACAAAGTTAAGCAATTCTAAAATCAATTTGAGACTCGTTAACATTATGTCAACTTTCCAAGAATTTTCCGCCCCCATATGGTAACACGTCTGACGAGCAACTTGATTCACTAATATCATAATTAACTTTATCAACTAAACGATTATGATCAGTACTTGTAATTCCTCTCTCCTGGAAATTAAGACCTAACGACAATTTCCGGAAATTTATTTCTACAATAATTGTAGACTGTAATTTAATTTGTTTTATTAAACATTATACATGTGATTATTACGTTAACACGTACTTAAATAATTAGTCACGTTGGTCATCGTGACAGCGATCATCTTTCTAGAAGACGGTTTTAAGTCTAACAATTATTTTTTAATATGTGTTAAATTATGTGGGAAAGAACCCTCTTGTTAACTAGCGAACGAGTATCTAGCAATCAACTAAAAGCAATTCAAAATGAACCCTAAAATAATTTGAACTGGATAGAAATGGGTATTAGGGAATAGGTTTTCGTGGAGTGTCAGGTTTGAAAAAAAAACTATAACCGCTATTTTCCGTAAAATACCTTGAGTAGGTTTTTGGTTCTGACTTGTTGTTGATGTCATTGCTAAAATAAAAGCAAAAAATTATAGAATTGTGTATCAATGTAGAAACTTCCTTCTAAGGCTAACAAAAAAAACCTTTATAAAGGACAAGACTGTTTTTTCAATGTTTTGAAAACGGGAGAAACAAAAATTAAATTGAGAAGCGATTAACAGAATCTTAAGTACAGTGTGACAAAACAGAATATTTTTTAATTTCCTTTATGTTGTTTCAGAATCGGACGGACATAGGCCATTACGACTACGCCTGCGACTACAAATGCAACATAGCTCAGGTAGGATCAATATAATTATTTCCCTTTATAACACAGGACGCCTCGTAACCCCATTTGTGCTTTAAATTACTTGAAAATTCGAGATGAATCCTGTATGGGTTCGACTGACTTTTATGTGACATATTACATTGCATTCATCTAAATCACTGACCAGAGATCCGCTTCCGGTTTGCACAAGTCTTCGGTGTCACGATTTTTTCAAATGAACATTATGATACAATGAACATTACGATGAAATAGGTGTGGCAGGTAGAAATAGCCAGAGATGAGCCAATCAATAATAATACAAGATAAAATGTATCACTCACAAACAGTATTATGGTAAGACAGTTTTAACTGTTACTATAGAAGGTGCCTAATAAAGAATATGAGGTTTCACTGAAGAGTTACAGGCCATCCCAAAAAAAAAATTATTTATTTATTCAGAATAACTCCGTCATTTTTAAAGATTTTTTAATAAAATTTGTTATAGTGGAGGTTATGGGTGGCTTTTTTCCGAGGAAAAGATTATCTTTTGAAACACCACTATTGTAGAAAGTTTCATATCTTAAAACCTTTGTTTTGGTTCAAGCACTGTACTCTGTAATACTGAGTGCGACAATGAAGAAAAAATGAATGAATTTAGGCGGAAAAATGTGATAATAATTAAATAGAAACGCAAAAATACTAAATACCCGCTTTAACCTAAATTTGTAAACAACTATATTTACTTTAAATAAATGATAAGTAAAAAAATTATTTTAAAAACAAGCTTTTATTAAAATGCAATAAAAAGAAAAAATAAACCAGAGTTGATAATACCCATAATGTTTTGTAAACTCCAAACCTACAAAAGGGTTGTATATGGCTGCTCTATAGAAGTGTCATCAGCAAAAATATGATAAATAGACACGTACTATTTATAATCAGTATGTTCTTATACGATTTAAAAGCTTGTCGCCAGGTTTATTCCTAATTGGAATTTTTATTTTAAGGGGTAAATTACCTTTAAATTTTAAATTTAAATTAATTATAGCAACATGAACATACTGATTATACAAGGTGTAACCTAAGTACGTTAAAATATTTAACTGGGGTATTCCTAAGATAATTCTAAGAAGAAGAAGAAGAAATTTGCTTTCTCGAAAACGGTGGCTTCTAGAGTTGTTAAGGAAGTGTTCCTTTTTTGCTTAAAAAAGGTGTAGGAATATGGTTTATGCAGCAGAAGTCTTCTGTTGAAAAAGTTATGGTAAATTAAAATTAATGATGATAGCGTACGTAATGCCCTCTAAGTGCTGCACAAAAATTAATACTAAATTTTGATTTTTCACCTCAAAAAAAAACCCCGGTTACCAAATTTTGTGCGAAAAATTTCATCTTTCGTAAAAGTTACTTAAGAAAATCGAAAATAAAATTTTAATTTCAACGCCCTGTATCTCAGAAAAGAAGCGTTTCCGTACAAAGGTTTATATAAACTTTTTTCTTAGAATTAACTCAGGAATACTCCACTTAAATATTTTAACGTACTTAGGTTACACCCTGTGATAGTACAGTTCAAAGTTGGCTTGCAAGATTTGAACTAAACATACATACTTGTGAAGTTAAATAAAATTCATATTAGTGTATTGTTTAGAGGAAGTGGTTCAAATTTGGCTTGCAAAATTTGAACTAAACATATATACACACAAACATGTGAAGTTAAATAAAAACTTGTAAAAAAGCTATTAGTTGCATGTAGTTAAAATGCCATTAATCTAAAAAAATGTTGTTTTTTTTGCTGCTTTGTAACTTAATTAAATATTTTTTAAAGTATTCCTAGCGATTTCTGTTTTAGGTAAAAAATGAATTCATATTCATACTCATACTAAGCTACCTTAAAAAACTTCCCTATATTAAATTTTATTGGAAAATCTTTAAAAGTTACAAAGTTATTAAAAAACGAAAAAAGTCTCTAATGAGACGTAATTTTTTAAGGAAACAAAATTGTACTGTCTAAATCGGTTTATTTTGACCCAAGACAACTATTACAGTATTCTTTACTGAACATCCTGTATAAAAGCACTAGAAATGTCAACAACTTGTAATCAGGAAATTACTAATGTATTTGAAACATTGCTGGTAGTTATTAAATTATTAACAAGTTATTGGTCGTGTTTATGATAATTATGATAGATAAAACATTTGAACATTTGAACTAAACACTGAAAACTTAAATGGTACCCGGGATTACATCAATTTTAAGGCAGAACAAAACAACTTTGTAAAGATTATTGAAATACCTGTAAAATGGTGTGCCACTTAACCCCCGTGCCATTTAAGATTTTTGAAGGGGGTTGCTGCCCCATTTAGGGGGATGACCCTACATCCATGACTTTATGATCAAAATATGTCCCCCTTGAAAGAAAGAAATCGACCTGTTTTGGGGTTTTCCGAAAAAACCTGTCGCATTGAAAAAATTTCAGGTGGACTGTTTTAATTGGGTCATCCTGTATATAAAATCTAACACAGTAAGTAGGTAAATGGGAATAACATACATACTTTAAGAAAAGGCCAATATTGAAACACGTATAACAGTTTTCGAATGTCAACAATTACATATTCATGAGATATTCTGCAAAAACAGTTGATACGTAAATACGCAGCAAAAGTTGTGTACAAAAAGATAATAAATTCTCATTCAAATTTCCTCCGAATTAGTGGTTAAAACCGCAAAACGTTTTTGTAGAAATAATAAATGTTTTAATTTACCATAACTGACTTAATAAATATTACGAGTGTACAGAAATTTTAAAGAGAAGATCATCATGTGTCTTATACTAAATTAATTATTTTTAACTTTAATCATCGATTGTAGGGAGCGCAATAATCGATACGATGTTAATGTTTTCTGAATATGCTTACGAGTAACATGTTACTCTTCTGATATGATTTTATCATTTTTGAAATCGAAGTGTCTTGAGATATAGAGATGGGAGTTCGAAAGCTTTTTGTAAAGTTACTTAAATAATAATTCTAATTAATACTTGTTTTAGGTCTATCCTCAATTTCGTTAAGCACCTATTCTTCCATTTTAACTGAGCGTGCTAATTTTCAGCCAGTTTTTTTAAACTCCTGGTTTCAGTAAGACACTGATGTAAAAAACTAAACATCGTATGACACGGAATAACACAAAAAAGGCGCCTTATCGCCCATTTCAATATTTGTGTAGTTTTCCATTTCAGAGACAGTAAGTTGTAGGTAAAACATCTATTGCATTAAACGACTTGAGAAAAGCACAATGACAATTATTGACAGCAATGTATTATCAGTGTATTAAAAAAAAAGATGGTGAAATAGGTAAGTTCTCATCAATCTAAAACAACACCTACTTATTTTAAATTGCAAATTTATAACTTTATAAAAAATATACAATGAAAAAACTATTGAGGATTGCAATTTTCAATCCCTTTCGAGATGATTAAAAATATCGGTGTAGGAAATACTTTGATAAGATAAGGTAGCGTCCCAAATTGCATTATTTTATATTTCTCTAACTGTGAGAAATAAAATAAAAACTGAATTTTAACATATCCCTTCAAGGGAAGACGTTTTCGAAATAAGTTTATATAGAAGACCCCCTTCACTTTTTGGCAAAAATACCCTATGTGAGCTGCTGGTTTCGACTGAGACTTAATATTTTCACATTTAATGTCATTTTATCCTCAAATTGTACACACAAGATTTCGTTACAGTGTCTTCATTTATTCCGAAGATATTTCGAAATATAATACACTTGTTTTAAACTTTAAAACCATTATCTCAAAAGTGACGATATTATGAATTATTATATATAAGAAAGTATTTTGGTACACCCTTCATATTTTATAACTTATCCTTCTACCATCCTTTTTTTGCAACTGATTAATCATTTTTAAAAGTTGACAAACTCGCAAAATCACCGCCATTTCGTTAATATTTTCGACAAGCATTTAACAAAAAAATACTGCTATAATTTTTTTGGAATCTACAGATCATTTTATTTTTCACTTCAAATAAAAAGGTCCTTGCAATAAAGCTTTTACGTTTAAAATTACTAATTACGTAAAAATAGATTCAAATCTGCCTTGCTATTTTTTCCAAAATTCGTTATTTTAAATAATGTTAAAAAAATAATTAGTTACACCGTAAAATGTCGAATAAACTGCTTTATGAAACTTTGCCAAATATAGTAATACATCGTTCCAAGACCAATAAGTTGTTTTGCCCCAATTTAAAAGTTTCAACATCAAAACGTTTAATTAAAAGATGTAAATTACTTGTTGTTATGAGTGAGAGCATTGAAATTCATGTTAATAAACAATATATGTATTTATAGCTTCAGAATGTTTGCCTTATATCGTAAATACTAAAGAAAATACGATGTTTGTGTAACAGAGCAGAGTGAATAATAAAAAGTTGGTTAACCTCAAAGAGGTTGGAAGAGATTGAATTAACAAATACTGAAATTTGTCCCTGCAAAAACTGTCGTTTTCCGCTTATGGCTGAATTAAGGGAATTATTTTAAAACAGGCCCAACCTCTAGTCAGGAGGACTCCACTGATATAAACGGGAACGAACACCAATAAATGTTAATAAATATGTCAACGATAGATGGCAGGCTATAAAGATAAAGCCATCAACTAATATCATTAAATATGAAAATAAAAATTTGCTTTTCTCCACAAATTTAAAAGCAGTGTAGTCAAAAGTTTAGTTTTTCCTTGAAGAAGTATGTTACGTACATACATACATTCATACGAAAATATTTTCTATGTAGAATAATTATTTGCACCCACTTTCACTTACATACATCTTAGTAGATACAAGTAATGTTACGAGAAAATATACTCATTATTTTCTTCTATATTTAATTTTATTTTGGTTACCTTCAACTATAAGATATTCGCATCTTGTTATTTAATGAACGCCCGACCCATTGGCAAGCAAATAAATGGAACTAGGTACAACGCACGCTTCAAATTAAGAAATTCGCTGAAATATTT